CAAGGTGACAATTTAAAGCACTACCTCTCTAGAGTTAGCATGTAAGAAAAACGATGTATTTTATTTTTCAAAAAGTTATGACGTACGGTTTACTATCGTGAGGATCAGTTGATACCAAAGACATACTAATAATGCAGAAACGTTTCACTCCCTAATGTCATGTGTTGGGAATAATGATCCTTTCAAGCCACCTCTTAAAACTAATAATCTTATGACAATAATTAAGTTTTTATGTTTATGCCAGTTTACAATATTGAAAAGAACTTAAATGCTTCACCTTGGTTATGCAACAACATGATTATCAAATGAGAAATGGGGGGATAAGACAGTTCAACCTCTCACTAGAACATCACATGTTTTAAACGGTTACAAGATTCAAACAAAACAAAAATTTTAACGAAATTCTCAAACACATTAAAAATATCTTGACCGAGAAAGTTTTAAAAGAAAATACAGAGGGCAGGTCAAAATGCGTGTAACAGCGTAGGTCTTTTTTTTTTTTAACTGAATATAAATACAATATCGTTTAGAGAAATGCAATATATGGAAATGTAAGTTGTGAGTATGTAAAACTGTGTTTTTTTACCGTTCCTCATGAATCAAACAAAATAATATAAAAAATTATTTAATCTATAGTTATTCGAACGGTCACTAATCTCTACACATTATTTAATCCATTGATTTAGTGGTTTATTGATCAAATTACTTTTTTCAATTAATTAATATTTTTGTGTAAGGTTTTGGTTGAAATGAAAAAGTTAGTGTCACGAGTGGGATTCGAACATCAAACGATTTCGACTGAAAAATAGCAAAAAAGAGGGAAAATTCGAAAGGTTGTAGGTGTCCGAGTGGATCGAAGTCACGACAGCCAAAGGGTTACATGGCAACGCAATACATACACATTGTACAATATAGGGTTCCCCATGGGTCTCTACTGGGTCCTAATCTTTTTATAGTATACGTAAACGTCCCAAAAATTCCAAATTACTTCTTTCAATTAATTAATCTTTTATGTAAGGTTTTGGTTGAAATGAAAAAGTTAGTGTCAAGAGTGGGATTCGAACCCACGAACTTCGGCTCAATACGCCCCTGCTCTAACCACTTGAACTATCGTGACTTCGATCCACTCGGACACCTTACAACCTTTCGAATTTTCCATCTTTTTTGCCATTTTTCAGTCGAAATCGTTCGAAGTTCGAATCCCACTCTTGACACTAACTTTTTCATTTCAAAGCAAACCTTACATAAAAACATTAATTAATAGTAAAAAATTATGATGTAATGTAAAATGACCTGACGCATGTAAAACATGGTTGCCTACTTTAAAAGTGGTGTTATGCTAAGTTACTAAGCTGTTAAAAAAATTGGTCGCGCGAATTTTTTAAAATGGAAAATGAGCGGACGATGGATATCAGTTCTTTCTTTTTAATAGTTCAAAACGCACATGGTCTGTTATCAGTGGAACGGAAAAGACAAAAGCTAGAAACAGCGACAACAGGCGGACCCAGATTATCGGCCAAGATCTATGGATCTATAATGGATGTGATTGATTTGGACAATATCGGTCTACTTTCGTCGGTGTTTACATTGAATTAACGATATGAAAACATTATCTTGTTGGAAAATTTTAATAATTTATTATCTCTTTGGAAAGCTAAACGAAATCTAAACGATCTTAGCTTTACATTGGACGATGTAAATAAACCCATATTTCTATTTAATAAATCCTTAAAGGAGGAAATAAAAAAGTGAAGTTGAAGCCGTAAGCGAGTTTTATCATGAGGATCTGTGTGAATTCGATCAGTACTGATTATCTCCACTCTTTGTCTTTCGGTATTACACTTGTCTTTTAAATAAACAAATTTATAATGTGTGGTGAGGGCACTCTCAATAAGACACGCAAGAATGGTACAATTACACAGAAAACAAACACTTTGAGCCCTGAAGATGATGTCAATAAAGATCGAAACGTTGGCACGATAAAGAAAATGTTTTCAGAAACCTACATCACACGATTTCTGAATAATCAAATCTATAATGCTCGTCTTTTGAACGAAAGAGAAAAACTGTTTAAATTTAGTGTTTTTATGTTTAAAACCTTAAAACTTAATGTAAAAGGTCAAATTTAAAATTGCCTCTTGAGCAGAATCATAAAAGTTATCATGCTATCTACCGATGATCAAGTAGTACAAATTCTCCGACGAGGGTTAGATATATATTTATGAAACGTTTGAATCTACTTAAATTGAATTTTTCCAACCGTTATTTTTACCCCTTAGCCGGATTTACTCGAGGTACAAACAAAGCCGGCAAAGTCGTGGAAAACTTTTCTGGTACGGGGCTCTCCTGTCAGTCAATTTTTCGCCACTTCCTTCTACCTGCTTTTTGCCAGTCGGGGATTAATATTCCACTAGATATTTATTGCCCCTCATCCACTTTTATGGTCCTGACCCAAATGCGGCTTGAAACGGCGCCGACTATTGTGACCAAGTCTGCAAATTACTCTTTCCGAAAATTTCAAGAGGATTGCAGTTTAGAAAACGAAAATGCCCTTTTTGAAACCGGCCTAATTAAAAGGCCGGCTTCTTTTGAATTTTCGACTTATTTATTGCTTTCGTACGCCAGGAAGTCAATTAAAGAATCACAGAATGCTGAGGATTTTTTTCTTTTAAGGTAAAAGGCTCAGGAGAATAGTAAATATAAAAATTATAAGGTAGAATTGAAAATTATTATGCAGAAATCGGAGATGCGATCTGGTGTGATGTAGGTTTCAGAAAAACATTTTCTTTGTCGTGCAACGTTTCGATCTTTATTGAGAACATCTTCAGGGACTGGGATTAACAAACATTGTTTAAATTTAACAAAAACATGTAGGATGTGGTAAAAAGTGAATTTATACAATGCAAAAGAAAAAAAAATTCAATCAAAGTATTTCTACTCACTCAAAGTGTTTGTTTTCCGCGCAATTGTGCCATTCAGTAAGTAGAAATACTTTGAATATAAAAAAAAACTTTTTTTTGTATTGTATAAATTCACTTTTTACCACATCCTACATGCTTTTGTTAAATTTAAACAATGTTCGTAAATCCCAGGCCCTGAAGATGATCTCAATAAAGATCGAAACGTTGGCACGATAAAGAAAATGATTTTCTGAAACCTACATCACACCAGACCGCATCTCACGATTTCCGAATAATCATCGAATAACGATCACTAATCACCACACATTTTTACAGTAGAATTGAAACTGAACTTGAAGATTGATCATGAAACAGTAATGTCATCGATAATTAGAGATGTGTGAACATGGGTCCGCCGATCGTCGCTAGTTGATGTTTAACCCCCTCAAATTAGGCTTTCGAAATATTTCAAATATCCAAGTTTCATTTAATTCAGATATAAAATTACACTAATTAATTTAGAACTTTAATTTTACAGCGATAAAAGGTAAATTTTCATAAAATGAGACGTTTTAGAATGTGGAAAATTTAGTAAATGACGCCGATTGGTATTTAAATAGTTACTGAGATCATATGAACTATGATCGGTTGTCATTGTTGATGATGCCGATTAGCCTGGCCTCTTTTATCACTCGACGCATTGGGGATTAAGGATTCCATAGATATAAAAACAAGTCGATATAACGTATAACATTAGGATTATTACCGCTTTAAAAACTGGCATAATTTTTTCTGGCAATATTTTTCCAATAGTTTTTCCCAAAATTGTGCGGCATGGCACAAGAAAAAAAAGAGTCGAATTCGAGGTATTTATTGCGAAAACGGTCCGAAGCATTTGCCCGTCGAATACCTGCCCAGTTTTTGTAGATTGGCGCATCTGTTAACAATTTTCCAAAATGGGAAATTATAACAAGGACGAAGAATGCTACTTGGAGGGGTCTTGAAATCGTAACTCTTCAGACATTAGCCGGTCATTAAATCCCTCTACTTATACCCGGTAGAATTGAGGCTAAGTGAGAGATAAAGGGACTTTAGGGCTTCCCAGAAGTGAACGGCCCCAAAACTGGCTATCGTACTTTCTAAACCTAGGAGAATAAAAGTCCCTCGAAGGTAAAGGAGGCTGTTTAGTCACTGTTAAAACCTTCGTGTTTTTTTAACGTCTTTTGACCCTTACGACAAAATTTTAGCCCTGAGAATGCCAACGAAAAGCACTTCTTCAAATCATACACAACTTGTTGAAATCTGTCAGTATGGTCTCGATGGTTTGGAATAAATTTTTCAAAATTATGGAAAAAATCGTCGAATAGTTTATTCTGAAATGATGAATTATTTTTTAAATTCAATTGTTCAATAAATACTTAACAGAAACGACGTTCGAGATATGAGTTTAAAATTAAGAAAAATTGGCGCTTTTAATTTTTTTTTCAAACCGCAAAATCAAAAATTTTAATTCATTCCATCTCGGATTGAAAAATGATCGTTGATTGTTCGGTGGTAATATATGACACGGCTCATTACGAACTTAACAGGGGGTGCAAGAGGGGTGCAGGATCGCAGGGTCAGGTGAATTCCCTTCAATCGTAACCGGCACCTGACTTTACGACCTGCACTTTGTTTTGTAAACAGTCTACACTAAGTGATTCTATAAATATGACGATTTTAAATAGATTTTGTAAAAATAAATAAATAAATAAATACATCCTTGGTGTTTTGCTGTTTTCTCGAAATTTCTTTAACTAGGACCTCAACTTACGTTTTTCCTATTTACAGTTATTTTTTTTAAATATGTTTTTTATATATTTTCCCTGGAATAAAAAATTATGGGAAAATTGTTTAAACTTGATGGTATGGTTAAATGTTAGTCGGATATACCATTGGTAATTAAACAAAAACAAAGGTAGTTTTGGTTAGTTTCTGAGGACTGGTTGGCCGGTTCGATCGCAACCTGTAATAAGAAATAAAAGAGGAAGCTTTCTACAAATTTGTCAGCGTTCTCTTTTATTTTATGATTTGCGTTTATGTTTAAGAAAAAATGCTCACCGTTTGATCTGTTGACGATGAGAGGTAGCGGCTCCGGAGAGCAAGGAGGGCTCAACTCCTCTCTGTTCTTCTGCGCTTCGAGCAACTTCAGCTGTTGCTGAAGAAGCCTGTTCTTAATGAGGAAGATCTTGGGCATGGTGGCAGTCTCGGGTCCGGGAACCCAGCACGCTAGGTCGTGGCAAACTCCAAAACGGCAACTGCACTTTTTTCAAAACTGTTTTCAATTTTCACAGGCACTGACACAATCCTCTTTCACTGGCGGTCGGCGTTTAACTGAGCTCACAGAACCGTTGTTCAAGGTTCCGCTGGTGCCCGTGTACCCGTTGGTGGGAGAGGGCCAGGTACACTCGGACAGGCAAAGTCACGGCCGCCATCTTTTCCACCTCCACCTCAGATTCAACCTCAACCTCCTCCTCTTCGCCGCGTCTTCATCGCAGCCCGTGACACTCCTCCGGGTCCCCCCGCGTCACCCGGTGACGGACGCGACGCAGGTGCGCACTTTGCACTTTCGTCCTGCGGCCCAGTTCGAGCAACGGAAGTCGGAAGCGATTCCAGCTCGCCTCTCTCGAAACCGACGCCGGAAATACGACTTGCAAGTCCTCCCATTCATTGCAAGCACCGTTATTTTATCGTTCCCTTTTAACAATGGATTCGCCCTTTAATTTTGACGTTTACACAACTTCTTCAGCAGGAAGGGGCGCTCAATTTTCTTGACCTCACTGAGTACCGAGTTTCTTAAATTTCAATGTTTTTTATTGTTATTTTTTACAAAAATAATTACATTTATAATCATGTCAAATTGTTAAACAGTAGGTCTGATCCATATTCCACTAAAACGAATTTTAGTTACTTTGTCGGATGATTATTACGAAAATATGTAGGATTTTAAGTTGGATGGTAATTTATAATAATTACGTAAATACATAAGATAACTCTCTAATTTGTCTTTTAAAAATCCTTCGCAATAATTAATCCTTACCTTCACTGCGAAACCTGTATTTATTCGTACATGATAAATTACAACTTGTATTTATTTTACATAAAGAAATAAATTTTTTTCGAACATTTATACCCACTCAAACACGGAGGAAGGCCTTTTTTGGTTAACTGTAATAGCCCTTACAGAATCTCGGAGGGAAAAACAATCTTGACCAAGGTGGTGCATAGATTAGCAATTTTCTCATATGAGATTGAATACTTCACGAGTTCTGCAATGAGCCTGACTTCTAGATATATGATTGAAGAATTACTGAAAGACCTAGAAGATTACTGATTTATATAAGCTCCAATCTGCACACGCACGTAAACACATACGCATGTGTACAGAGTTGAGCCACTTCTCCCAGCTCGGCAATTCCAGGTTTTGTAATTTACGATAAATTACCAGCAGGCTTCGAGAATCACACATCGTGTGTCGGCAGATCCTCGGTTATGTCCGTTCACCCTCCGACTCCTGGGATTATCAACAGCTAGGTCTGTTCAGCCTCCATCGCAATATCAGTTCCTAAAATCAAACCCATTCACACCCTCACTCACCCTTCAATGTATTCTTGCTTATTTACATACCGTTTACTCAGTTGGGGTTCCTCCGTCCCCCTTTACACATATTATACAACTAACCTAATTGATAATTGTTGTACACTACAGATTCAAGCTAATATTGGGTTGTCCGGAAAATAATGCAGGATTTTGGTATTAAACAAAAAAAAAGAAACTAGTTACTTTAAAGCAATGTTCTTTAATCAAAATAATTTCCCATACNCTACAGAGGTAAACAAACAATATCATTTGGAAGAGGATTAATAAGTGTTGACATTCATACAAATGAGTAATCCTGTAAACGTAAACAGAATATTTTTTGTAGATTTTTTTTAATGAAAACTTAAAATCCTGCATTATTTTCCGGACAACCCGATAGATTGACAGCGTATGTCCAGCATCTAAAAAAGGAAGCTCAGTGCGTTCCAATTAATTGAAGGATGCCACTGCTAGGCGCCATATAGAGAAGATGAGAAGCTCATCCGATATGAGAATTACGCTTGAGCCAGTATCTGCGTCCCCTGTTCCGATTTTTATAGGAAACAGGACATTTTACTGTGTATATTGTAGTGTTTGATAGATATCTCACATTATGTTTCTTATTGTATATTGAGAATGAATGCATCTATTAGCGTGTGTGTGGTGTTTAGTGACCGTTATCCAATGGTTGTTTGGAGATAGTGAGGTGCGGTCTGGTGTGATGTAGGTTTTAGAAAAACATTTTCTTTATCGTGACAACGTTTCGATTTTTATTAAGATCATCTTCAGGGCCTGGGATTTACAACATTGTTTAAAATTCACTAATTTCGTGATCTGCTTGACCTTTTTGCCCTTTTTTCAATTGTTTAAATTTTACATATACATGTAGGATTTTAAAAAAACAAGAATTTATACAATGCTGGAAAACTTTAGATAAAAAACAAGAATTTATACAATGCTAGAAAATTTTACATAAAAAATGAATTTATACAATTCTAGAAAATTTTAGACAAAAAAATGAATTTATAGTGTGNAAAATGAATTTATTCAATGCAAGAAAATTTTAGATAAAAAAAATGAATTTATACAATGCTAAAAAATTTTAGATTAAAAAAATGAATTTATACATTGTTAGAAAATTTTAGATAAAAAAATGAATTTATACAATGCTAGAAAATTTTAGATAAAAAATGAATTTATATAATGCTAGAAAATTTTAGATAAAAAAATGAATTTATTCAATGCAAGAAAATTTTAGATAAAAAATGAATTTATACCATTCTAGAAAATTTTAGATTAAAAAAATGAGTTTATACAATGCTAGAAAATTTTAGGTTAACAAAAATTAGTTTCATTTTTTTTACATAAAATATCAGAGTTTTTCTTCTCCAATCTTTTCAGACAAGACATAAATTATCACGATCTCATAAATGATTTTCCAGTTGTATTTAATCAGACAGAAGTACAAGATGATATGCCATAAATATTATGTTTGCAAGGGTTTCATTTTTCATCGTGTCGTTGTGTGTGATTGTACATGTGTCTTTTTATCGTGTTATCACAGAATATTTTCATTCAAACCCAGAGTCCTCCCTTTATTTTGGAAAACATATAATGTCAAATAAAACCAACTCTTAGCCAAAATTATTTATTTTATTGTAAAATCTCTTAAACGACATGTTAACAGCAGAATATTTTAACCAAAGTTTCAGCGTTTTTGAACACGTTAAAAATTAAATAAATGTCGATTCTTAACAATATTTTTTATTTTTGTAATCATTCCGTACAACATGCATGGTTATGTGCGTAGGCAAATTGTTAGGTAGTTAAACCTCGTCAATTAGTTAGTTAGAGAGCATTAATTTTTTTCAAAGTATAATATAATCGTTGAACTGTATATAATAGAATATTAATTTTTTTCTCGAATTTTTCTTATCCACTGGTCTTTCAGTTTTCTCAGTTTAAATTATAAGATTTCTTGCTGATGTCTGTGAGGTGAAGAAGCTGTAGTTTGATTACTTCCGAAATCCTATTCCGCCCATCCTCGCTGTTTTGTCTGTCACAATATTTTGCCATATCAGTCGTGGGCTCGTTGTTGTATTATGATTTTTGTTCTATTGTTGTAGGTATTGTGCAATTATATTAGTCGGTAATACTATTTGGTCTATTCAGATCGTCCTAGTCTGCCCAACTTTGTTTTGGTCTATCACACTCACTGCTATGCCATATTCACGATAGATTCACTATTTTTCGTGGTCCGCTTGACCAATTAATATCATTTAATAAATTAAGGTTTTAAGCTGAGATAAAAAAAAGTCAATGGCACGAACGGGATTCGAACCCACAACCTTCGGCTTGACACGCCGCTACTTTAACACTTGATGGGAAGTTGGTGCCCGGGGAGATCGAAGTACGATAGCTCAAGTGGTAGGGTAGCGTATCAAGCCGAAGGTCGTGGGTTCGAATCCCGCTCGTGACACTGACTTTTTTATTTCAACGTAAAACCTTAATTAATTAAATTCACTATAGATTGATGTTAGCTTGTATTATGATTACGGTCGAACGGGATATATTGTAATTGTTGTGCGATCATATACCTAATCGGAAATATAATTTTGTCGATTCAGATCGACCTGGTCCGCCTGTCTTTGCTGTTTTGTTCCTTTAAGCAAATTACCTTATTCACTGGTTAGTCTGTGTGTTTTTGAAAACCGAGACCTTTATATCTATTGAAACGCTTCTTCACCTTCACTTTAAACCGTTACACTTGTCATAAAATCTGACGGTAAAAACTTCATTCTCGGTACTATTTTTATTGTTTTTAAAATAAAAACATTATTCCCATCATGTCATTTGCACATCGCTCTTAGTTTCAAACCATTAATTATTTATAATTAATTGCTTATTATTAAAGTTTATTATAAGATATAATTCAGTTCAATTTTACACACGAAATATCAGATAAAGAAAAGAAGTAATTATGTTATGTAGGTACAAGTAATTATCTTCATTGTGATCCTTATTTTTATAGTTTTAATAATATGTTTGTACTGTTGATGACCAGAGAATATTAGTTACCATTAAAAAAAAAAAATTAATGCAGGTTCATAAATTGTATTGTAATAGCTTAGAATGATAGTAAGGGTTATCCGAATAAAATCATTTGAACACTTTTTTGTACCGCTTGTTGGGTCCGAGTATTCTCGCTGTCCCCAGTCCTTTTGGGTGCATGCAGGATGATTTATATTCCTGTCCCTTTCTACCCCAACGGAAACATTCACTCTCTTTAACTATAAATATTGTACACGGAAAGAGAATTTTAGAGACGGTCGTTTGGGAAAAACAGACTTGGGACAGAAATTCTACATCGACTCGGATCTTGTTGTTTCCAACAGGAATGCGGTTTGGTCGGTTTGATTTTTCGTCAGACAAAACGGAATAATTTATCCTAGAAATCCTTCAGGCTACAAAGGTTACTGTTAGGAATACTATCAAAATACTAAGTGTTACAATCGACTGGTTTGAATACTAATTATGACTCCATACATGCTGTGACCGCAGATGAATACGGCATTGGTTCGTATTGCGTGGGCTTGAGCTTGTCATCTTTTCAACGGAATAAAAAAAATCCTGTATAATTTTCTACCTTTCAGTTTGTGTAATTGCTTATTGACTTCTCTTTTTTAAATCAATGGACCAGGTTGGTCTTATCTTAATCATACCTTTAAATTGATTGGAAAAATACAATTTATACTTACATCTTAAATTGTATTTTTCCTATCCATATGTTATGTAATTTATCCCTAGGCCCT